TAAACGGGAAAGAAATCGCCATGTTAAATCAGTGTGAATAAACCTTCAAATAAAGGATTACCTGACAATCAGCATTTATGAGTGGATTTTATCTAGCACTAGTGAATGGCGAATATTTATGCATATGGAAATATGAGAATCTGCAGTGGAATCGTTTGCCGACTGGTATATCACTGAATTTTCTGGTGGAAAATGATTTGTGATCAGAAAACATAGCAGAATCAGATGATGTTCGATGCTTACATACGAGCAGCTCATCCATTGTATGATCGAACAAATGTTGACGGAAATCAAAACATTCATTTGCCTCCGTCTAAATTAAAATCTCTGTCAGAATCCCTTGCAGTTTACAAGTTATGCGAAACTTTTTCACCAACTCATTCCACCGAACTAACAAATCTTACGAAATAAACCGAGTATTGCGTCGCCTGTCACTGCAGATCAGCACAATATGACTGAAAAAAATCAAAATCCGAACCTTATAAAAAATTAAAATCTCCGTCAGAGTCCGTTTGCAATTTGCATGATGAATGATCGCTGTAGTGATCACAGATATAGTCCAGATTCATAGACTGAGTACAACATTTTCAATGGATCATGGTCCTCTGCTTTACCAAATAACATGTTCTTTCTCTGATACCACCACATAAAAGAGAATCTCAGCTATCTGGATTACACTTGTATTGTCCACCGAAAGTGGCTAGTTCCTTAGATACGACGGGTTTTCTGAAGCTATCCCACCCAGTTCAGCAATTCCCCTGTATCGTCGAAGATTCGACGGACCCTGGTCTTCAACTTTATCCAGTAACATGTCCTTTTCTGTTGGTATCGCATAGAACAGATTCTCAGCTATCTGACAATGAAATGTATAGACGAATCACAATTGTATTATAAACTTATTTTAGAAATTTTCATCAGAATTTTAAAAAATGCAAAATTACAAGTTACAAAACCAATTAGAAACACAACAACAACAACAACAACAAACAATACAACACCGCCACTTTATGAAATATGAGTGAAATTCATCTTGTNAAAACAAATACAAACAATACGAATCGCTTGAAGCTAACTAAAACGATTATGAGTAAAAAAATCACATTTAAAGTAACAAATTCATCAATAAAAATTCAATAACAACAACAACAAATGAAAAATATCAGGTGAAAATTACAAAAATGAAAAGTATTTTCAAGAATCCTCGCACCACTCACAAATCTCATGTATTAAATCGCATTACTCGGTTTATTTCATAAGATTTGCTGGTTCGATGGCATGATTTGCTGAAAAAGTTTCGCATAATTTATAAATTGAAACGGATTCAGACAGAGACATTCATGCAGACACAACAATAAAATGATTTCTGAAACGGGTTCAAAAAGCAAACAAACGGCTTAACACGATGAAAGCGTTAGTTGAGCGTTCATAATAAATGTTAGAGAACTTCAATATATCTTTAAATATCTATAGATATGTGATAAAAGAACTTAGGACATAAATATGGTTTTTAGCACAACATGATAAACTTGATAGAAGGAAGAAAAATTATTCTTGACAAAGTGATGAAAATTTGCGAAAAACTGACAAACAACGAAAATAGAGTTAAAAACTGATACCAAACCTAATAATTTCTATAACGAATCACAACAACGCATTCTGTGATAGAAAACAAATCACTAGAAAATATCCGACACGAAATAAAACAAATACTTTCTTGATACGATGTAAAGCAATTTGATGTGAGTAGATTAAAAAACCAAGTAAACAAAACAATCGTATTCTTTCGAAAGCAAATAACAAAACCATAAACTGAAAGCTTCACAAACTCCGATGTTTCTAAGCCATCAATTCCAAAGATTTTCAACAATAAGCTCCAATTGTAACAACTTTGCATCTCAGCAAATGAATCTATCAGCATTCCGAAAAATTCACAAAAACCTAAAAATTACGCGAAACCTAAAAATACCCATTGAACAATTCCCGAGAATTATCAGCTTCATTCCAAGTTTTCCAATCTTTAAATATCTATTCCGCTTTGGAGGAATCATCAGAGGACTTTTACGAATCAATGAAAATAATTTCCACACAGACACGATAAACGCGGTGGTTTCATTTGTATCTTTGGTTTTTGATCAGTACAACATATCTATTGCATAAGTTTATATCGCGCAATTCCAGCCTCGCTCATCATACAGATATGATTCAAATCTCGGAATTTCTGGTTGTAATCCAGACCGTAACCAACGATGAATTTATCCGGTATTTCGAATGCCACGAAATCCTCATTGACCTAAAACGACAACATCGTTACCTCATCACAAACTACGCTCACTCTTTTTTGTTTTGAATGGAATTTTTAAAATTTTAATCAATGTTTTAATTTTGTTGATTTAAACTTTCTGAATTTTATTCGGATTTAAAACTATCATCACTAAAAAGAAACATCAGGAATTTAAAATTTAAATTTTTCAAACATCTTTTCAGCTCTATTTTTTTACTATAAAGCGATTTTTCACATCATTAATAATTTTGTTCGTTGGCGGAATACAAATGTGGAACAATTCACTTTTTCAGTTCGTTTCACTCGTTTCGATAGTAATATCGCTGTCCACATTTGCTTAACGCCCAACTGATCCAGAGTCTTCATTAAACGTGCCAGCGTTTGTCCACTGTCAATGATATCCTCTACTATCTGCAAACAATGACAGAATTTCGATGCAGTCAAAATCTCTTTCAGGCCAAATTTTTTTCCAAACAACGAAAATTTCTGATCTCAAATTTCAAATTCACTCGTATTTCTGCTGAGTTCCAAGAATCTTCCACAAGCTGCGCCTAAAAAAAGCGAAAATTTTGAAAACCAAAACCACATTTGAGTCATACTCTCACCCATAAACCTTCGCATTTTCGTAGAAAATCAGAGAAAAAATGAAGTCTTCGAATGAAAATCACAACCAAATACGAACCAAAACGTTTGCTCCTTTCAGTTCATCAAGGCTCGCCAATCCGATCACCTCCAATGTACCGGTTTTAGCGCTGTCCGCATAGCTCTTATAAAACCACAATAAGTACAATTAGAAACCAATTTAACCAA